CAATTTTGCTTTAAAAATGTTCATTCGATTTTCTAATCATTTGTGGGATCAAACAATGTTCCTTTTCGACTTCAAAAGAGCAGAATTAATGTTTTCTTGAATGAACGCATTTCTAACAGTGAATGTGTTTTTTGTTTTGTAAAGTCTATTAATTCCAAAATCAAATTTTAAAAGGAAACAAAATTTTGAAGACTTTCAAACAACATTTTTCAAGTCCTCAAATGTATTCAGTATTTTCATACACATTTGCATGTTCGTACAAACATTTGTTGGAAAATCTACTAGTGTATGGCCAGCTTTAACGTTGGACCTTTAAATTACATCTGTGCTAAAATCTGGTGTTATCATACAAAAATCAACCACGATGTTCCACCATAATGACTTGAACTTTTATGATCAAACTTCCATTTCCCACCAACTAAAAACATTGAGATAGGGTGTCTCTTGTTTACCTAAAGTGGTGGTAAAGCCTTAAGGTTTTTTTTAACTTAATAGATTCTATGCATTTACTGTAAAAACCTTATGTGACAGGGATCCCTCCCTAGCCCCCACTTGTACGTACCTGGGCTCCATCATGATCTAGAGTTGTGCCTGAGAGTAGTAGCTCTCTCCGCTTTGTCCTTCCTCACAGGGCAGATCTATAGCAGCAGGAGCCATTGGCTGTCAATCAAACTCTGTGACGAGGGAGTAAGAGAACGAGGCTGAGCCCCACTGTCTGTGTCTATGGATGCAGGCAGTGGGGCTTGGGAGTGATGAGCCTGAACAAGTTCCCCCACAGGACATGGCTTCTTATGGGGGCACTCGCTGTTGAGGAGGAACCTGAAGCACCAGCGGTGAAACCGAGAACAGGAGGATCGGGGATGCTCTGTGCAAAACCATTGCACAGAGCAGGTAAGTATGACGTGTTTATTATTTAATTAAAAAAAAATAAAGCTTTACTATCACTTTAAGGGATTGTGCAAAAAGAAGTTGCTTGCAGAAAATCTGGGGGACAAAAGCAGGAACAAGATGATAAAATAAATGTACATTTCTTTAATGTTTTCATTGGCAAGAAAAATTTAAATGCAGTCAATGAAAAATATATGTCACATTAATTACAGTGATTTGTGATGGACCATTCGGAGATAGCTACAGTAGCTACTCATGTTATCCCAGGCAGCTGCTGATAAAGTACACCTGTGATTTGCAGCTGCATAGACAAGCACAGCAGCCAGATACAGAAGTAACTATGTACAATTAGTCAGAGAATATATTCAGAGATGTGTAGCTGCATTTCTGGATTAAATTGGCAATAAACTAGGCCACCATATTTCCACTGCCGAATTCCTCAAAATTTACTCACTGTGGTACATAGCACATCTGTCAGGAATTGGGGAATTGTTGGTGCGCTGAAAAAAATGCCTTATCTAAACCCAAACCCACTAAAAATGTAAAATTTTGCAGCTTACCAGTCCCTAAATATGGTAGCTGAAATAGTTTTATTTTTTCAGGCTCTTTTCCCCTTTATTTTCACCTGTTGATCCTGCCAGTAACCCACTTCTTGTCCTAGGTATGATAGCATTCACTCACTGTACTATGTCTATGGAGGACCAGTCTTGTCACACTAAGACAAGAAGTGTGTTAGGAATACAGAACACGTCCTCTTTCCTCTTCTTCATAGTATAGGATGGTGTTCTATAGTTCACAAAGCTGACCTTGGCAGGGCTGATCGGACAAAGTGCAAAGGACGGCATTGGATTTCTGGCAGGATAAACAGGTATTTTTTTGCACTTATTGAATAGATATAATTCAAAGCTTTAAATTGTATATTTAACAGACCAAAGAGAAATAAATATAAGACGTTCATTATTAGGGTGTAAACACACTTTAAAAGTCATTTTAAACATGTATATTCCATATTTCAGGATCAAAGAACTCTTATAACTTTAGAATGTCTACAGAGTGAACTTGAAGTTCTGTCTCTTGGTCCTCGGGTTGAAATGTACACCAAAAGTGTTGTCGAGGTATGTATGATTGTTGTTGATTTGTGCTGATTATACTGATGCATCGGACACGGTACATCTTAAAGTTTATCAATCTGCCACACTATAAACATTGATGTCCCTGAAACAACTATCTATACTGATGAAACTGCTGCATTGGGCTTCCAGGGCAACTATGTCACTAAATACTGTTCCAATGGTATTTGTTAATGTAAACTCAAGTTAAAGGCATCAGAGAACGTACATTCAGCCAGAGATTTGCAGCGGCTCTACTTCGATTCTGATCTGTCCCTTCATTCTGGATCAGATGGCCAAATAACCGCATTTGGTAAATCTGTGAACGTGGTCAATTATCCAGGTCATCGTATATTTAGCAGTAGTTAGTCACCACATTCAACTGGACTTGTTCTGTAATGTTGAATAGTTTTTGTCCCAGTATTTATATTCACTGCTAGTGCCAATGCCTTGATTCAGTTACCTTTAAGGCAGATGTTATTGTCAGGATGGGAGATGTGAAACCTCCCACCCTGTCCTATTACCATTCTCCTTTCCATGGTGATTGGAACAAGGTACTGGTGCTACCCATTTGGGTATAAATTCTGTGGTAATTTTCTGACACTCATTAGACCTGAAAAAGTGGCTTGTAGAAAATATGAAACATCTTCAGCATTACAGAATAACCCTAATTAACTCCTTCATGCTGACGTAACACAAATATGCGGCCTCACAGAACTGGACATTTTTCCATGGGGACGCACATTTGCGTACCCGTCTTTGTGCTGGGAGCGCGCCGCACAGCGCACTCCCAGCACAAAGACCAGGGTGTCACTGAGAGCCCCAGGTCCCGTTCTAATAATCGGGACCCAGGACACCCTATTCCAGGTCACATGATCGTTGTGATAGCTTCTGATTGGCCCCACTTGTTTTTTTTTCTCTCTGAATGGAGGAGAGAAATACATTGTACAGTATTTCTCTCTCTCCTTGCAGAGAGAGAAAAAAAAAACTGTTTGTAGAAAAAAAAAGATAAATATAAAAAATAACGAAAAAAATACCTAGATCAAGGTTTGATCTAGTTCAGTGTCTGGGTTAGTGTTTGGGTCAACGTCAGGGTCAAAGGTCAGGATTTCTTTTAAATTGGTGTCAGTGTCAGTGTGTTTTAGGTAAAAAAAACAAAAAACAAAATGCGCACTATTGTTTCTGGGCTGTAGTACAGATACGAACAACAAAAAACATACACATATATGGCATCACTGTGATCATCAAGAGCTGTAAAATTTATTTTGGGTTGTTTTTTGGTGGTAGATTATAGTAGTAACAAGAAACACAAGGTATAATCTACCTGGATGTACAAAGTAGTTGTGATGATATGTACAGTTTTACTAACACATGTCAAAGTTATAAAATTTTACTTAGGTTTTAAGAATTGTTTTACCCTTAGGCGTGAAAGGGGGTTAAACATGACTCTCTACCGCTAGGTAAAGCATTTATTTACCGCTAGGTAAAGCAACTATCTACTATGGATGCCCAGATTTCTTTAGAATTAGTGAGTATTTCTGGGCTTCTGTGCAATTCTCAGTGCTTTTAAATGCTTACCATGTTTAGCTTTTCCTTGAATCAAAGGGTTGGTTTAAAATTCCCAATGAAACCTTTGGATATACATCATTCAGTATGAGACATAGTTAAAGCACTGACCGTAGAACAATAAAGAAACCCTTACCTCTGAGAAATACAGGTAATCACTAGATGATTATTGAGAATAAGTTTTGAGAATATTTATAACAATGAGCACAATCACACATACCTAGAGTTTGTAGTTTCCAAGAATACATTTTTTCCTTCACATAGGTACAGTTGAAAATTTTAAGGAAACTGGAGACAACATTACAAGATGCTGTACATCTCGGTGACCCGATCTCAATCCAGGGTGTGTGCACAACTCTGTGGAATCTATGTTTGCCTGTACTGCAGCGGTATCTGCGCAAGTACTTGAAGAAGCCTCTGGTGTCTATTGCTGAAGCATTAGAAGACATAGATAGGCAAGTATTCCTCAAATTATGTGTATGGTGTAAAGAAGTAATCTAAACACAAATCAATGGGGTTAATTTACTAAAATTGGAGAGTGCAAAATCCGGTGCAGCTGTGTATGGGAGCCAATCAGCTTCTAACTTCAGCTTGTTCAATTAAGCTTTGACAAAAAACCTGAAAGCTGATTGGTTTCTATGCAGAATGCACCAGACTTTGCAATCTCCAGTTTTGGTAAATCAGCCCCAATATGTTTATTAGATTGTTAGGGTTAATATACTGCAGTAGATAGAGCTGAGTCAATTCAGCCCATTGTCTACAAAGTGATACCTAGACCAGCCAACTACAATATATAAAGATGCTGGGATAACCAGAGGAAGCTAACATTTTTGTTTCATATTACTTATGTTATGCATGCGTACTAAGCATTTTAAAATTTTTGTGATATATGGGAGGAGTATGATGAGTTCGTTGAAAATCACAGAGCAGGCACGATGGTTCAGATGTTTGGACCTCCTTAATTGAATAAATGCTTGGTTCAAGTTGCCCAACCACAAATCGACTACACAAACAAAAGAGTCATCAGTGATTAGCAAAAGGTGAATCTTTCATAATCTCATACCTTGATACCTTGTGTGAAGATGTTCGGGGGGTTTATGCAGCTGTAGGTAAAATAAAAACAAACTATAACCATCAGCATGAAACAAATGGTATGGCTTCTATTTGTACTGTGTTTTTATTCCCTTGCAATAATTTTGTTGTTCATAATACAGACCGTTATCTTTTGCCTTTAGCTTGTTGACTGTGATGCGCTGCCAAATTCACATGGAAATAGCACAGATAGAGGATGAGGACGATAGAACTGAAATTGCCATAAAACACATACAGAAAGCTTTAGACCTCGATGGTATTGGACAATACCAAAACTTCCTGAAAATGTATCTGCATCGTCTTCAACTCCGAGCTACGCTGTACACTAAACCACAGCGTGTAGAGGATCAGGCAGCCATGATTCTTGAGCAGGTAATACTCCTCAGTGTTTACTCACCATTCATGATCCAACAAGTTGTGATCAGACATTGTATTTATTTGATTGTGTTTTATTTAATTTTATTAATATATAGCTAAAATCAAATAAAGACCAACTGAGGCTTTAACCACTAGCCTACCGGGCACTTATACCCCCTTCTTGCCCAGGCCAATTTCCAGCTTTCAGCGCTGTTGCACTTTGGATGACAATTGCGCGGTCATGCAACACTGTACCCATATGAAATTTTTATAATTTTTTTGTGACAGATAGAGATTTATTTTGGTGGTATTTAATCACCTCTGGGTTTTTTATTTTTTCTTAAACAAACCAAAAACCACTGAAAAGTTTAAAAAAAAAGTTTTCTTAGTTTTTGTTATAAAATTTTGTAAATAAGTGATTTCTCTCCTTCACTGATGTGCGCTAATGAGGCTGCAGTGATGGGCACTGATAGGCTACACTGATGGACACTGATAGGTGGCACTGATGGGCACTGATGAGGAGGCACTGGTAGGTGGCACTGATGGGCATTGACAGGCATCACTGATGGGCACTGAAAGGCAAAACTCATATATGGCATTTATAGGTGGCACTGATAGGAGGCACTGATAGGCGGCACTGACTGGCACTGATATGCGGCATTGACTGGCACTGTTAGGTGGCACTGACTGGCACTGATAGGCAGCACTGACGGGCACTGATAGGCGGCACTGATGCACACTGATAGGCGGCACCGACTGGCACTGATAGGCGGCACTGACTGGCACTGATTGGCAGCACTGATAGGTGGCACTGACTGGCACTGATGGGTGACACTGAAAGGCAGCTCAGATGGGCACTGATATGTGGCATTGATGTGCACTGTTAGGCACTGAAATATGGCATTGATGTGGCATTGATGGGCACTGGCAGGTGGCATGGATGAGCACTGACAGCTGACACTGATGGACACTGACAGGTGGCACTGCTGGGGCTACACAGATCATCAGGGCACACTGATCATCAGTGCCCTGATGATCAGTGCACATGTCCCCTCTGAGGAATCCCGATTACCGGCTCTCCTCTCCTCTGTCAGCGTGACAGCTCGTGAGGAGAGAAATGCAGATAACCGGCATTTCCCTATTTACATGCGATCAGCTGTGATTGGACACAGCTGATCACATGACCGAGCCGACATCTTCGGCTCTTTCCATTGATCGGTGATCCCCTGTGTCCGTGGGACACAGCGCACCACCGATCTCCGCGCTTCATATGACTTCATATGACGTCCTCCCAGAACGAGAGAACCGCCTTGCGCCCGTCGTACTATATGGCGGGCGAGAGGCGGTTAAAATGTCAATAGATTAAAGTGGTTGTAAACCCTCACATTTGCCCAGTGAAGTGGCTGGCTTCAGGTGATGCACAAGCATGAAACAATTCTTCCTACCTATCTGTACATGTCTATCTGCAGTCTTCTATTTTTCACATAAGTTCAAAGTGCTGAATTTATAAAGCTTGTCTGAGAGTTCAGACAAAAAGGGAACTGGGAGCTGAACTCACACACCGCAGAGCTCAGTGAGAATAGTTCTGAGAGCTGATTGGAGGGAAGAGACACACCACCCAGAACTGAGATTGTCAATCTGCTGGAGGCCCCTCTCCTGTTATAATTTTTCTCTTGTGTCAGGAAAACTTGTCAGAAATGACTCATGCAGCTAGCAGAGGAACTAAGCAGCAGACGGAAATGACACTTAGTGCTCTTAACTGAGACAAGCACACACTATAGAGGGATATGCTTTGTTCATATTTCATGTCTGGAGTTTACGACTACTTTAACTTTTGATTTTATCAGAGGTGATGAATGAAAGGATCACATTGAAAAAAATGATACTCCACTTACTCCAAAGCTACTTATAAATTGATCAGTACTTTTTTATTTTTTACTTCTTTTTATTTTGATCTAAAATAAACTCAAACATATTTTTTCCTCTATTCAGTTGGAATGTCAGATGATTGGAGTGATCAATCAATTGTACTGCAAAGTTAAGATAGAAATCATTTAGCTCCCATAGCTGCCATAACTGACTTATTTTTGTTTTAAACTTGTCTTTATTAGAAAAATTTCCCATATTTTGGACTATTATGACAAAATTCAAAGTACAGCTTACTATCAAAAACATGCTAGAACACAGAGTAAAAAAATACTCCTCCAATTATGAAATACATGCCCTGTACTTAAATATTTAAAGCGGAACTGCACCTCCTCAGTCAACTCTAAATATTTTTAATCCTTATGCTGCTAGCATTGCTAAATAGGTAGTAAAGTATATCATATTTACTTGTTTTAAACGTTTTATTTTTACATTTCTTCAGTTGCTTCCAGGTCTCCATGCCTAGGCACATGACGTCATATATCCCAAGAGTCTTCAGGAGGGGAGGAGGGACACCCTCCTGCGTGCATGCCTGAGCTAAGGGCAGGTGGATTCCTGGAAGTAAATGCTACATGAATCATCTGCCCTTACTCAAGAAATGCTAGAGGGGCGTTTTTCAAAGTGATTTCTCATAAAAATAAAGCATGGAGATATGGAGTGTGTTTGATTTGAAGATTACATATGAACTAAACAGCGTTTTTTGGTTTGTGGTGCTTGGATGCAGTGAAATTCTGCTTTAACAATAAACTTGTTTTATCCTGCTTGGAGAAAAAATATCCTCAAACAAAAACACACAACCCAAACAAACCACAAGATGAAAAAAAAACCCGAGGAAAATCAAGTCAGAAACATTTTGCTGTAGTTCAGAACTTCAGTAAGTAAAGAGACAAGTTCTGATTCGCAATGCTAGTTCATGTTTTATTCTTGTTTCAGGCAAAACAGAGCAACTCTAAGGAATCTGTAAGGAAGAAGCGCCCATTACTTGTGAATGTTGGCCTTTGTCTGGCCCCTGATGTTTTTCAGATGGTTCTGGATAGTGAAAACGAAGCCAAAGGTAATCTGCCAGATGCCGTTGTATTCATGTGTAGTGCATATTTGCAGGTACATTTGCAGGAGATTGATGATTACAAATGGATTGCTGATTTAAAGCGTGTGCATAAGCAAAACTTTTTGCTTTTAGTTCAGAGTTACAGAGTATTAAAACACCTGTATAAATACATCAGTGGCTCATATAGTGAACTCAGTGTAGAGTTGTTCACCTTGAGGCCATCACAGAGGACAAAGGGGCACTCTTTACACCTGGAGGAAAATAAATTTAATCTCCAAATACAGAAAGGTTTCTTCACAGTAAGAGCTGTGAAAATGTGGAAAAGACTCCCTCGAGAGTTGGTTCTGGCAAGCTCAGTGGATTCCTTTAAAAAAGGCCTGGATTCTTTTTAGGTACACAGGATATAACTGGTTACTAACATTTATAGGAAAAGCTGATCCAGGGAATATCCGGTTGCTTCTCGGGGGATCAGTAAGGAATTTTTTCCCTTACAGGAGCAAATTGGATCATGCTTTGCTGGTTTTTTTGCCTTCCTCTGGATCAACTGTTGGTGTAGGATTATAACTTTTTTTCTTTTATGGTTGAACTGGATGGACATTTGTCTTTTTTTCAGCCAGACTAACTATGTAACTATATGTAACTATGTAACTATGTCAGAATTTGATTGGTGGATTTGGTTGCAAGAGTCTGGGTACAAAATTGATTTAGATTCAAAAGAAAAAAAGAAAAAAGGTTATGCTATAGTGTGCAAAAGTCCTAGTGATAGGCTTCCCTGAAGAGCTGAGTTTTAAGGGATCACCTAAAGGCAGCCAAAGTAGGGGATAGCTGAAAAGATTGAGGTAGAGAGTTCCAGAGGATGGGAGAGGCTCTGGCAGAGTCCTGGAGAAGAGCATGGGAGGAGACAAGGGAGCTTGCGAGCAGGAGATCAGGAGAGGTTTGGGTGATACTTGGAGACAAGATTGCTTATGTAGCTCAAGACAGAGTTGTGGATGGTGTTGTATGCTGTTGTTAGTATTTTGACTTTAATTTGCTGGGCAATCGGAAGCCAATGGAGGGTTTGCCAGAGAGGGGTGGCAGACACTGAGTGGTTGGTAGGGTAGATTGGTAAGGCAGATGATCATGGCAGCAGCATTCATGAAAGACTGGAGAGGGGATAGCCTACGGAGAGGTAGGCCTATGAGAAGGGAGTTGCAAAAGTGAAGGCGAGAGATAACAAGAGAGTGGACGAGTAACTTGGTGGTTTCATTGATTAAAAAGGTGCAAATTGTATGCTATTTTATGAAGGTGAAGTCTACAAGTTTTTGACAGCGACTGGATTTGGGGCCAAAAGGATAGGTCAGAGTCTAGGATTATGCCTAGTACCCTGGCTTGAGGGGAGGGACTGATAGTTGTATTATTGATCTTGATGGAAAAGTCATGTAGGAGTGCGCGAGGGGAGGGAATATTATCAGCTCGGTTTAGAGAGATTTAGTGTAAGGAAGTGGTGCAACATCCATGCTGACATGTCAGTAAGTTAGTAATACGAGAGTAGACTGAAGGAGTTAGGTGAGGAGTAGAGAGATAGATTTGGGTGTCATCGGCATAGAGGTGGTATTTGAAGCCATTGGAGGTTATCAGGTGACCAAGAGAGGAGGTGTAGATAGAGAAAAGAAGGGGCCCAAGAACAGAGTCTTGGGGGATCCCTACAAAAAGAGGAAGTAGAGAGGAGGAGACAGAGTTATAGGTAACACTGAAGGAGCACTGTGACAGGTAGGAGGAAAACCAGGATAGAGGTGAATTTTTGAGACCAAGGCAGTGGAGTTTTTTGGGAAGGAGCTGGTGGTCAGCAGTATCAAAGGCTGCAGAGAGGTCTAGTAGTAAGAGTTTGGAGTAGTGACCATTGGTTTTAGCAGTTAGTAAATCGTTAGTGTGTTTTAGTAGAGTGCTGCGAGTGAAAGCCAGACTGTAACGGATCAGGAAGGTTGTTTTCAGTGTGGTAGGAGCTAAGACGGTTGTAGACTGAGCATTCTAGAAGTTTAGACGTGAATGGGAGCAAGGAGATGGGTCTTAAGTTGTTCAGGTTGGTGGGGTCCAGTGAGGGCTTTTTAAGTATGGGAGTGATTTGTGCATGCTTTAGGGAGGAGGGGAAGGTGCCAGTTGAGAGGGAGAGATTTAAGATGTGAGTGAGAGAGCATAGGATAGAAGAAGAGGATGAACATAGTAGTGGTGAGGGAACAGGATCCAGGGGACAATTGGTTAGGTGGGCATCTGAGAACAGTTTGGTAACCTCTTCAGTAGTAGCTGGGTTAAAAGAGGATAGTGTTGACTGTGCTGTTGGACAAGGTATGTTAAGTGGGGAAGATATCTGAATAGTGGATGTGTCCTCACGTATTGCATCAATCTTGTCTTTGAAGTGATTGGCAATCTCTGGCGCAGTGATTGAGTTAGTGGGTAAAGAAGGTGGGGGACAGAGCAGAGAGAGTTAAAGGTAGCGGAGAGCTGACGAGGACTGGTATTAATAAGAGAGACAAAGTACAGTTGTGACCAAAATTATTCAACCCCCAATGCTGTAAAGGGGTTTAGGGACTATAGTGTACATTTGGAATTGTATTCAGAATCAAATCCTACAAGGACGTTGTAACTACCCAAATGCAACTAAAATGACATCAATTGTTTATGTAATACAGTAGTAAATGGTTCTTATGTGGTTTCTTCATTGCCACAATTATTCAACCCCTTAAAGACTACCACTCTGAAGAACAGAGGTTCATACAGGTGCTTTCCATCAGGTATTGAAAACACCTGTGGATGTCACCGAGCAGCAATCAAGCATAATAAGCACCAATTAGGCAGCTTTAAAATGACTGTGATACTCAGCTCCTTCTAGACATTTACTGGTGTGGTTACAAACATGGTGAAGGCAAGAGAATGGTCCAGGAAGACAAGAGAAGAGGTGATTTCTCTTCACAGGAAGGGCAATGGCTATAAGAAGATTGCAAAGATGTTAAACATACCAAGAGACACCTTAGGAAGCATCATTCGCAAATTCAAGGCAAAGGGCACTGTTGAAACGCTACCTGGTCGTGGCAGAAAGAAGATGCTGACTTCGACTGCTGTGCGCTACCTGAAGCGTAGAGTGGAGAGAAGTCCCCGTGTGACTGCTGAGGAACTGAGAAAAGATTTGTCAGATGTGGGTACAGAAGTTTCAGCCCAGACAATAAGACGCACACTGCGTAATGAAGGCCTCCGTGCCAGAACTCCCAGGCGTACCCCCTTGCTGTCTCCAAAGAATAAGAAGAGTCGACTGCAGTATGCCAAAAGCCATGTGGACAAACCACAAAAGTTGTGGGATAGTGTTCTGTGGACTGATGAAACAAAATTAGAACTGTTTGGGCCCATGGATCAACGCTATGTTTGGAGGAGGAAGAACAAGGCCTATGATGAAAAGAACACCTTGCCTACTGTGAAGCATGGTGGAGGGTCAATCATGCTTTGGGGCTGTTTTGCTTCTGCAGGTACAGGGAAGCTTCAGCGTGTGCAAGGTACCATGAATTCTCTTCAGTACCAGGAGATATTGGATGGAAACGTGATGCAGTCCGTCACACACCTGAGGCTTGGGAGACGTTGGACCTTTCAACAGGACAATGATCCCAAGCATACCTCCAAGTCCACTAGAGCATGGTTGCAGAGGAAAGGCTGGAACATTTTGGAGTGGCCATCGCAGTCACCAGACTTAAATCCGATTGAGAACCTCTGGTGGGACTTAAAGAAAGCAGTTGCAGTGCGCAAGCCTAAGAATGTGACTGAACTGGAGGCCTTTGCCCATGAAGAATGGGCGAAGATACCCGTAGATCGCTGCAAGACACTTGTGTCAAGCTATGCTTCACGTTTAAAAGCTGTTATAACTGTAAAAGGATGCTGTACTAAGTACTAAGATTGAATGTCACTTGGGGGTTGAATAAAACTGATAATGCTGTGAGCACAGAAAAGACATTTGTGGTTATTTCATTATAACTGTTATGTTATATTTGTCTGACCTACAAGTGCCTCTTTAATGTAAATGTAAGCAAGATGACTGAATGATCAAAAGCAATGTCAAACTGGCCAAAACACTCAATTTCAGTGGGGGTTGAATAATTTTGGTCACAACTGTAGGTTTGTTTTGCAGCATGGGGGGAGGAAAGGTATTTTAGGAGGGCAGATTTATATAGGATGAAGTCCTGCAGGGATCTGGTTTTATGCCACAGTAAAACAGCAAAACTGTTATTGTACATGTCTAATTGTTTTTACTTGTGACTGTAATTTTGGATCCTGACATTATTTATGCAAATATTTTCTACTTTTTTTTAGCTGGAGCTCCCTCCCCTGTTACCATTTTTCTCTTGGGTCAGGAAAACATGTCAGAAGTGATTCATGCAGATAGCAGATGATTGAACCAGCAGATAGAAATTACATGTAGTGCTCTTATTAGAGACAAGTACACATTATGGAGACCTATGCTTTATTAATAATTCATGTCTGAGGTTTACAACCACTTTAAAGGTGCGCTTCAATTGAAATTGAAAATTAAAGTTAAAATGTATACAGGGAGCAAGTCCTAACTGCCTGGTACTTAAATTTTTCTATCCAGGCAACTCTGAAGTGCACCAGCCTGCACCACTCATTTTTTGCCATGTGATCTGAGAACCTCTGCTTGCAATGCAGGAGAGGAGTTCCAAAACACGCCCACTTCATGCTCTTTGCTATCTCTTGAGTGTGAATTGTGATTCAGGAAACAGAGGAAATACACCCCCAGTGATCCTGAAATGTGCTGTCTTGATTCTGATTACAGTGGTTAATGGAAAATTAATATGAAGTTAAATTAAATGAACATGTTGTTTTTAGCAGAGCTGCATTGTTTGTTGAGTAGGAAGATTAGCAACAGCTATCTTCTGGATTGGGCTATTGGCATGCAAAAATACATTCTTACAGCACATTTTTTTTAACTTGTGGCATGATACTTACCACTTGTCTTTTATCAGTCTCCATAGGTAAAGGTAATAAAGGGCGTTTAAGTCACGTATGTATGAGAGCACAGCATCATACAAAGTGTGTCTTGAAGACTGAAGGCCATTTAATGCGAACAGACAATAAAAATGATGTTGAGAGGTATGTATGTCTACTAATCATTCTGTAAGTTTTTTGTTATTTGTGTTTTTTTTTTTAATTATAAAGGAGTGTTTGTATAACATGTTGGTTGTGCAGGTATGACAAATATTCACACAATTAGATTGGAAATTGCTGTACTTCCTCTAAGTATTTGTGGTTCCTATATCGTCAACACCATTTAGTGGCCACAATACATTCTTGTTTCCTGATTGAGATATTTGTGGAAAATAACACATTATGACCTCTAGTTGGTATTGAGAATATAGGAATTACACATATTAGAGAATGTACAGTAATTTTTGCCCTGATTAACCGGATGTTTTTCATATCTGGCCAGCAAACTTTTTATACCCCTTAGTACCTTTTGTTGCTTCCTTTTTTGGTTACCACTAGGTCCGGTGCTAGACTGTTTTGTGCCCTAGGCAAGACCAGCTACTTGCACCCTCCCCCCCCCCCCAAAAAAAAAAGAATAGTCTGTGTGTTATCCGTGTGTACCTCTGCCACCTACTAGTCACTGAGCTCTCTACACTTAGAGACACCTGCTCCAATGGCTGGGAAGAGATGGGGAAAGGAGTATGGAGTGGACTAGGGGACCACACAGGGGCTGGGGGCAGCAGAAGGAAGCGGAAGCTGGACAGGAGGGCCAGCATTTGCTAGAACTATTCACCTTTATTTTCCTCCTGCAGCGGCTGAATGCTGGCGGGAGGGAGAGGAAGAGAAGGTGACATTCAGCTGCTGCAGGAGGAAAATGCAGGTGAATAGTTCTAGTAAGTGCTGCCCCTCCTGTCCAGGTGTGACAGGGAAGCCGCTCTGGCCCTCTGAAGCTATGCCTCTGGTCTGGTTTGAATAATGTCTCCGGGTTTCAGGTGGACTGAAAACTGGTTGAATGATTCAAAACCTGGATTGTTTGGGTGAATCCCAGACAGGTCTCCCCAGCTCCTGTGGAAGCAGAACTCCAGCAGAAGCTGTCAGGGCACACCGGGAGTTCTGGTTCCACAAAAGCTGGTGGGTGACAGGCCCACTTTTCAGCTCATAGCCAGCCCCCAGCCTCCACTCACCACCTCCAGGGCTCTGGCACTAAAGATTCCCCAGGGCCAGGTCTTCATCAGCACATCTGTCTCCGGCATCTCCACACTGGCCCTGGACAGCAGAGTGATGTCCGTGTGCAGAGCAGAAATATGTCACCTGGGGGTAAGGCACGGTCATCAGTTCCCAGCCAGCTGCTGCCCGGGAAGAGGAGGGGGGAGTGCAGCACTGGCCAGTGCGTGGTACTGGGACAGCCGGGGAAGCTCCACCACAGAGACCCCCACAACTCCTCAGTCCAGGCGGAATAATGTGGCGACCCTAGGTGCGGCAGGGGGAGCATTCACAGGAACGATGCTCTGTATCTGTGTCTCTCCCTGCAGCAGCTGAAAGCTGGAAGATGAGACACAAACACAGGGCATCGTTCCTGTGATTGTTCCCCCCGCTTCGATCCCCCCCTGTCTTTCTCACAATGGGGGGGGGGGGGCGACGAGGAAGAAGAGAAGAAAGAGGTGAGGCAAGGGTCAGCTGCACCCAAGACGGCAGTGCGCCCTAGGCGGCTGCCTAGTTTGCCTAGTGGTAGCGCCGGCCCTGGTTACCACAATATAAATCTGTTTTATAAATCAGCTGCAAATCAGCAGGTACTATATTGTGGGTAAAATGTAATTTGTTTCTGCAACCTAGTTAGTAACATAAACCTTTGAATTATTTTTTTGGGTCACCAAACAAAAAGTGCATAATTCTCCTCATAACGGTTTATGAAAAAGGGTTATAATAATATTTTGGGTAAATATGCCACAGTTGCAGAATATTATCTATGACAAGAAGGACTATAGGACAAATAAAACTAGTGCACAAGCTAAGCTATAGGAGGTAATGACAGCATAAGATGGCAGCTTCATGTTTTTTCTCACCAGTAACTCCTGGAGTCCTTCTAAAATGACAATGCATATACCACCTTTGTCAAAGTCAATGTTTAAAGCTGAACTGTAGGAATTATTTCTATTGCATACTTACAGTTGTCACACTTGGCACAATGTACGTATGCCTATCTCATACATGATGTGTCACTGGGGAAGCTCTAAATCACTGTAGTAGTCAGTGCTACTACAGTGATAACCGCAATCTTCTGGTCCTGCCTAGGTTCTGTACAAGCAGTTTTCCTTCTGTACAATAACCACAGGTGGGGGGACCCTCGCTCAGCAATGCCACCATTCATAAAAGTCCTTGTATTTTTTTTTTTTTCAACAAATACAAGGTATTCTCTGATTAAACGAAGTGGAGAGGAGGGGTGGTGATGTCACCATCTCCACCTAATCCAATCAAAGGGCGCTCTGTATTCATTAAAAAAAAAAACAAGGCATTCTGTGAATGGAGGCAGTGCCGAGCAAGTGACCCTTCTCTTGTGGTCATTGTGCAGAGGGGAAGCTGCTTGCGCAGAACCTGTGCTGAACCCAGAAGATCCCCGCTATCACTGTAGTTGTAACAACTGCTAAGGTAAGGGGAGGTACCTGCCATGAAATGTAAGTAGCAGTTTGATAGGTAAGCTCAGAAGTACATTTTATGGTTATGAACAAATACACAGTTGACTTCCTGCCACCAGTGCACAATATTCCTTTGCATTCTGGTCTTCTCTTGTAAATAATATCCAAGCATTTTGTGTTTCTATTGTTATTAGAATTATTTGTACTAATCTATATTTTATCAAATCAAGGGCATTAATGTAGAAAATACTTTTTATCACACTATATTGTACTTTGTTACATTATATCATTCTTCCATTGTTTCATGGTTGTTGATGTTGCACTAGGGCCAGACTCTGGGCAGATTTAGCTAAAATTGCTCGGAAACAGGAGGTCTGGGATGTGTGTAGGACAGCGTGCAGATTTTGCCTCTTATATGATGATGGCCGCTGGAATGTGCCCCCACAAGCTGTTTGTAAGTTTACTTTCTTTTTCCATCATTCATAATATGCAACATCATTAACATGTCTAACCTTTTTTAATTCTCTTAAGTGTAAAATGAAAAGTGTGCACTATACATTTGTTCTAAAGATAGATGTGGTGTGTGAATTATGCAGGTCTACTGTTTAAATGGCTGACTGTGAAAAATATTGTACAATTTTATATGCATAGTATGTATACTGTCATTAGTTAGTATGTATACTGTCTTTGGTTTGGGTCAACGTTAATTTACAATAAATACAAATACTGTAGCTGTTGACCTTTAATATAAGGACACTTACCTGTCCAGGGATCCAGCGATATCCTCACCTGAACCGATTTATCAATCGGCTTCGGGTCCAGGAGGCGGCTTCTTAACTAAGGGAAACTGGCAGTGAAGCCTTGAATCTTCACTGCCTGTTTCCCACTATGCATGTCCAAGTGATGTTGCGCTTTGTGAATGGTCCTGCAGTCTTCTGGAACCTATGATGTATCCCAGAAGGATGCGGGGGAAGGAGGGGGGGCGAACGTCCACTCGGACCGCCGAGGTGATCTGACCAGAAGTGGGAGCGGATACCTGTCAAAACCAGGTACCCACTACTCCCTCCTCCAAAAAAGTGAGAGGGGGAGGATGCAAATAAGTGGAACTTCCCATTTTAGGTGAAGCTCCGCTTTAAAATTGTATATTTGCTTTTGGTGTGTGTGCAGCTGTGCATATCAGTCAACTTCTGTCTTTCAATTTTAAAGCTTAACTGAACAAAATGAAGGTAAAATTGGTTGCTATGCACAACTGCTTCAGATTCTGGCTGCTCCAGTTTTGATAAATCCCTCCGTGGGTTTTGCAATAGTTTTCTCCTTTCAAACACTCTGTCTCTGAACCTCGGAAGGAGAGAGAGGGGCAAGGGTCATTACTCTGAGTCATTCAGTTGTGTTTAAATTTCACTTTGAGCTATTAAGCAGTGTTACAAACATCTTGTCTAAATAATTCGCTCCATAAACCCCACCTTGTGCCCCAGTCTCTCTGTGTCTGTGCTGTCAATCAAATTTATTTTACAGGTTTTGAGACGGGTGGTGGTGTAATGGATGAAATTATTTTGTTACTTGTGTTACTAACGAACACTCTATGCCATAACAAAATTTTTCATAGGTTACATCTGAGCAGTAGTATAAGATTTGAAACATAGATAAAGTGATTTTTATCACTCCCCACTAGACTAGTTTACTATGTGGCGACCCATCACAAGTACATCCAGGACACAATTTGGGTCTCAACCTTTGTTTACGAAACAATGCTTTAATTATGTAAAGTATTGTAAGCCCAATTCACAGCTGCCCACTGGCAGAACATAATAGCGCTGCAGGAGGGATTCCCCCATCAACAACCCATGATGGAAGAAAAACAAATTGCATAATCTATGGGCTGCTTAAGCCTATGCATGACAGTGCTTAGCAATAGGAACCCCATTCTCTTGAATACAGGCTGTTCACTTCTCTTCTCTGTCACATGTTTTTGGCTCCAGAGACTTCAATGGATGTGCCTGAAAACATGTGACATGAGCGTTTTCGCATAAGTTTTTGTGCCGAACAGCTGTTCTCTGCAGTCCTCCTCCTCTCTTCCCACCCAGGAGTTTGCATGCACGTACAAAAATACCTGTAAAACACTTAAAAAAACATGGGTATGTGTGCACAAAAACGTCCACAAAATTGATGTATAAGTGCTTACTAGGTGTGAAAGGAGGCTAAAGGCTCATTCACTGGGATGCACTTATTCATGGCAATTGGAACGCAGCAGCCACTACCAGTTTGACATCAAAAGGAGTGCAGGTGGGTGTCCCTGAACTCACACTGTCTGCATTCAGGGACACATACCTGCACGTACCAAAACGGATATCATAGTGGGAGCAGTGCCTGTGTCCGTGCAGCCGCTGCATCCCACTTGAATGAATTGGACTACACATGTATTGAAAGAGCACCCGTGCATCCCGTGTGAGTAAACACGGCCCTTTGCAAAGATGAATGCTTACATATACCCGTGTGAATGAGGCTTAAGCTTACACCCGATGAGAATATCGGACGAATGATCATCTGTTATTTTTTTGCAATCTAAAAGAGGTTAATAAAGTTACGGAAATTCACCTAAGACAGAATACAACTTCGGAAGTGATCTAATGTATTGTATTGTATTGTATTGCAATATATTCTTTCGTTTCCAAGCACGCGTGGTCTTGGTCACTCGATCTTTTTCGGACACATACTAAACTGATTAAACGAAAATCGTTCATTCTGGTATCGTATGAGAAAAATGTTCTTGCTTGTCCCTTCGGACAATATCGCATGAACTGTCATGATAGGGTCTCAAAAGCTATGTACTAAAGATCAGATGATCACTACAAAAGCAGTGATTTTCATCCCGCATTCTCATTGTGTGTATGACGCTTTGACTGGGAAACATATCCATGAAAATGTATTGTTTGAACTTGTTAAACTGTTGGTTTTATTTACAACTTATCATTAGCACAAAAGGAAAAATCTGTGTCCAGCGCAGTGGAAGAAGGCCGAAGTTCAGAACTGGAGTCTTCTAAGTCCAAGCCTGAGCTGTTCAACGATGAGAAGGCTTTATTAAGAATGCTTGCAGAAATCCGATTCATCAATGCAGAGGTTAGTGAGCCAAAGATACTGTTTGCTTTTGATTTTCTTCATAGCGCATTGATCTTGTTGCTTCATAGCCCAAAGCGTTAGAAATTAGGATGTGCAGAAGATGCCTAAAAGCATCAAGAAAAAACATACATGCATATTTATGCACATTTGAGGGCTTTCCCATTACTTAGGGACAAATTATGTAGATAGGCTAATTCTTTTGCTGCTGAGTAATTTAAAGGAAACCTGTCACAACATACACAAGAAATTGCCATTGCTTACTTTTCATTCTGAAAATGCTAATTTTTTGGCTGTTATGCTAACCTGACTATCTTGCTTCAAAAACACTGTGTAGGTTAGGAGTTCTGACCTATTCTGACATTTCCTGATTTCTGTTTTCAGAGGTATACAAAAGCCCCCATTTTTCTCATATAACAGGTTTACTTTAAAGTGGTACTTTAATCAGAAAATTAAGTCCTGTTAGATCTCTTCAGGCTGGCCCCTTTTGCAGTTATGTAAAATATAAAAAAAAATGCCTATACTGTTTAAAATCCAGTAATACACTATCTCTCTCTGCTCTGCACATGCTCAGTTGCTCTCTATTTTTAGGCACTGTGTAAAATTTGTAGAGGCCAATCTTCTGATAGCCTAGAGATTTAATGCTGCTCAGGGGCTCTTGGCTTAAAGTGTTACTAAACCCAGGACCCTGCATTCCCTATATCTGGTCTCCCACAGTACACAGAACATGAAAATGCAATTATTTTAGTAAACATAAACTGCTAAATACCTTTTCTCTTCAGCAGTTAAAGCAGTCTTGTGACTTCAGCAGAGTGCTGGTTAAAGCTTGTAGTTTTCCTTCTGCTCTAGGAGGATGTGAAACCTCTGACCCTCTGTCTGAACAGTGCTGTTTGACCCTGCATTGATCACATGCACTCTCCCAAGCAAAAAAATCCTGTCTAGCAATACACACTAAACTGAGCATGTGCAGAAGGGCTATGGGTTTAATCTGTCTTATCAGCGTGGACATTTGAGCAAGAGGAGGGGCAGAGAAGTCAGAATCAATCAGCCTTTTTACACAATGCAGAGGATTTACTGGAGAGGATTTATGCTTTACTGCATATACAGACTGATTTTACTGTTGTGGGCTTAGTGACATTTTAAGCAAAATGGCAGCCTCTGGTAAGAAGAAAAAGGACCAATACTGGAGGCAATTTACAGAACACAATAATTTTGGTAGCATAATTATTATTGTGGAATGTATGTTCCTTGCTAAAGAACATTATTTTTGATCAAGTTGTTATGGGTAAAGTTCCGCTTTAACCATCTGTAAACAGTAACGGTTTGCGGCACATTGACTTAGCAACATAAGGTTAAATTGCCCAATAGTATAAAACTAAGATTATCCATACACTACAGGTTCAAATGATCCTCTAACTTTATTGAAGATGTTAGTGCAACCAAAACTGATATTTCCGTTTTAGTAGCTTCTGTGGAGGTAAGCCACTTAAAGGTTGGTGTTTCTCAGGGACAGATCTCTGTTTATCAGTCTCTAGCCCTACATACATATTGCAGTTGTTATAAGCGGCTTGCACTCTACTAGTTGGATGGCATGAAAATTACTTGAATAGTTGTTCCTCCTGTGGTGTCTAGGATTCACAAAACACCTGCCAGTTCCCTCAGTTTTTAGCCAGTGTCACTGCCTGATTCCAGTCTAGACTTTGGTTGTCTGCTGCATCCTTGTCACGGTGTGAGGTCAGGTTCAGAGACCAGTAGCTATAGCAGCAGACCAACCAACAGGATAGGTAAACACGCAGGGCACCCTGGGAAATGACGCAGGCTCATCTGAGGTGCGGGGTCTAAGCACTAACCGGTATTCACCAGAGCTCCTGATGGTGGAGATGGATTTTGCTGCGTGTTAGTACCAGGTCGCAGTTCTCAGGATCACCTCACCAGGAAGTGAGCAAGCCAGGATCCAGTAGCAGATATGGCAGGTAGGGATCTAGCAGAAGCATAGACAGTAAACAAGCCAAGGGTCGTTAACAAGCGGTAGCAGGTTGGGATGAGGCAGAATCGTAGACAAGGTACAAGCCAAAGGTCGGTAGCGAAGGTATAGATGGCAGCAGGAGAGACAAGAGCGAGATACTGGCTGGAGAAGGCACAATAATCTGGCAAACAGGAAGTGCAGAGACATGGCTTAAATCATGAAGTTCATGGGAGGAGCAAGGAGTTCAAGGTTCAGCAGAAATCAAAGCAGGATTGTCCAATAGTTCAGGCAGAGTGCTGTCCAGGAT